TATATTGGTTTTAGGCCATATGTGGAAATATTTGAAGTGGCAAAGGACAATCCAGTTAGAATAAGAGATGGGTACTGCAAGGGCACTTTAGTTCCCTTGGAACAGATTTCAGATTTCCCTCTTACCTGATTTCATTTGCTACAGTTGTGTTTTCTTTTCAAAAAGAGATTCAAGCTACCAAAAAGCAGCTTACTAAATTTGAAAAAAAAAATATTAAGTATCAGTATGTCAGTTAAAGGGTTGCTGTCTAAACTCTGTACTATATTACTCCTTTGGAGTATAAGAACTGTCCATTAAATGGATGAAAAGCAGTTTGAGTAAATGAGTTGTTAAACCATCATAAATGAAGGGGACTTGAATATATTTTCACTCTCTTCCCAAGTGTGAGAAAAATGATAGATTGTATGTGATACAGGTGAAATTGACATATATACCTTAAAAAACAGTTCTATGCTTTGTTGATATAAATGCAGTAGAAAGGCACATATCTTCGTCTATAGTGGATATGCCCACTATGTCCACTATGGTTTTCACAGAAACAGGCATAATCATTAACTAAAATAGATCTCCATTGTTGGAAATATTATTGAAGATAGTAAGGAAATAAAATCTAAATCTTTAATGATATGTGTGATGGTATCAGCAAAAATGGTGATAACCAGAAATTGGAAACATGGAATTTTATCCTTAGATATATAATAAGCCTTGGTATACAGTGAGGGCAGACAAATTAATCCATTTATTACATTTTTGAATAGGCAATCTAACCCATGTTCCTTCTTTGTGACAAAGAAATATAGTCAGGTCCAGAAATATTGGGACATCGACACAATTCTAACATCTTTGGCTCTATACACCACCACAATGGATTTGGAATGACAGGAACTGAAGACAGTTGCAGTAGAGGCCTGGCAGAGCATCACCAGGGATGAAACCCAGCGTCTGGTGATGTCTATGCATTCCAGACTTCAGGCTGTGATTGACTGCAACAGGAACTGAAGACAGTTGCAGTAGAGGCCTGGCAGAGCATCACCAGGGATGAAACCCAGCGTCTGGTGATGTCTATGCATTCCAGACTTCAGGCTGTGATTGACTGCAACAGGAACTGAAGACAGTTGCAGTAGAGGCCTGGCAGAGCATCACCAGGGATGAAACCCAGCGTCTGGTGATGTCTATGCATTCCAGACTTCAGGCTGTGATTGACTGCAACAGGAACTGAAGACAGTTGCAGTAGAGGCCTGGCAGAGCATCACCAGGGATGAAACCCAGCGTCTGGTGATGTCTATGCATTCCAGACTTCAGGCTGTGATTGACTGCAACAGGAACTGAAGACAGTTGCAGTAGAGGCCTGGCAGAGCATCACCAGGGATGAAACCCAGCGTCTGGTGATGTCTATGCATTCCAGACTTCAGGCTGTGATTGACTGCAACAGGAACTGAAGACAGTTGCAGTAGAGGCCTGGCAGAGCATCACCAGGGATGAAACCCAGCGTCTGGTGATGTCTATGCATTCCAGACTTCAGGCTGTGATTGACTGCAACAGGAACTGAAGACAGTTGCAGTAGAGGCCTGGCAGAGCATCACCAGGGATGAAACCCAGCGTCTGGTGATGTCTATGCATTCCAGACTTCAGGCTGTGATTGACTGCAACAGGAACTGAAGACAGTTGCAGTAGAGGCCTGGCAGAGCATCACCAGGGATGAAACCCAGCGTCTGGTGATGTCTATGCATTCCAGACTTCAGGCTGTGATTGACTGCAACAGGAACTGAAGACAGTTGCAGTAGAGGCCTGGCAGAGCATCACCAGGGATGAAACCCAGCGTCTGGTGATGTCTATGCATTCCAGACTTCAGGCTGTGATTGACTGCAAAGAATTGTGTCAATGTCCCAATATTTCTGGACCTGACTGTATATGGAAAGATATATATTATTTTTAAAAAGTCTCAAAATGGTAGACAATGGTCTAGAATAGTAATATCTGTAATAATAAGCAAGATTTTGTATTTTAGGGCATTACAGTGTATTAATATTTATGCATGGCCTGAAAGCATGTTATGTGATTCAATTTTTAAATTTATAAACATATTTTTCTTTCCTCTTGACCAGATTTAATGAACAGTTTGACTGTCATCCTATTGTTAGGATGTGTACACTACGATCCACCCACCTATCCTTGGCACAGAGCGAGGCACATTTCTTTTGCTGGAATCAACACAGTCTTTTTATTTTCTGATTTTGTTTGTTAGATATATATCCTGCCTTTCCTACATGGGCTCAAGGCATCTCTGTGTATCTCCATTTTTATCTCCACAACAGCAACTGTATGAGGCAGGCTGGGTTGAAAAAAAGTTATTGACTGAAAGTCACCCAGTGGGTTTTCATGGCTGAGGACAGATTTGAATTTCAGTCTCCCTTGTCCTCGTCCAGCACCTTAACCTCTATACCATACCCGCTTGCTTAGATGTCCTTGCTGTGATATCAGTGCTTTGCAAATGCTGAGCTCTGAGATATCTTACCAAGAATTAACAAAATAGTCATAGTTCTCACAGAATTCAAGAAATGTATATTTATGACAGGAATCCACAATACAATACATTTGTATTCTAGATTTAGTAGATATTATTTAGATAATAAAAGATACCAAAAGAAGAGATTAAGAAGGTGTTTCAAATCATTTTTGCCCCACCAAAGCTGACTCAGTGTCCTTGTTTTGTGAATCAAATCAGGGGGCTGCAAAGCACTTCTTAACCTTTTCAATATTTCCCAGATTCAGTGGTTTTGTGTTGCTGCCAGAGTTGTTACAGACAGGATATGCATTGTTGCAGTTCCATATATGGAGAAGGCTGGTTGGTGTTGAATGGTGGGTAGTGTAATGGGCTCTGTGACATTGTCATTGCTCCAGTAAGTGGGGTAGGCAAGGCTAAAACTTCTTTGTTTTAATTCACTCTTTAAATTCTCAACTTATTTAACATCTCCAACCACAAATCTTGACTTTGCCATCTCTTGTGCTAAAGAAGTGTTATTCTTCCCTGGTGGGAATTCAGTTCAGCTCTTTAGACACAAGACTGAACAGTCTAGTATAGTGATGGTGAACCTATGACATGCATGTACAGGTGACATACCACAATGTTTTGGGTGTTGCCAGCATTCACCAACACCCGATGACAACTATTCTCCCGGTTTTGAGTTACTAAAGAAACTGAGTTTGTTTTACTCGTATTTCATTTTTGTAATTATTTGACTTTATATAATAAAATGATTAGACTTTTTTTTTTTAAATAAATGAGATGTAAAGAATTATTTCTCTTTTGTTTGGGGAGGGGGGGGTGACATGCCAGCAGAGTCAAGTTAGGCATTTTCCAAATTTTTGACACACTGAGCCCAAAAGGTTCACCATCACTGATCTAGAATATATTCTTGGGTCAGTCCTTGTGTTTAACAAATTGCATGATTGAGTCTGATTTAAATTTCTCAAATTATATGAATAGGTGTAACTTTGCTAGCTGCTGGCTGATTGTCATTTACTTCTAGGAAAAAAATTAAAACACTGCACTCTGGGGATTTTAAGGCCAGAACTGCTTTTTTCATTCCTAACGCTGGTTGGTCTCTTGTGCAGGGATAGGCAGTTGGATGTCATTATAGACCCTTTAGAATACAAGTCCTAAAATCCTTTGCTACTGCTAGCCACACAAATCCTCAATTATCCTTATTATAAGCTCCTAGCAGTTTTTTCCTTATATTCTGCTGTTTGAGGACTCTAGGAGTAGCCTGGAAAATTAATATAAACTTTATCAAATATTAATATAGATTAACACAGTTCTAAGGCCAGCATTTCACACATTGAAGACTATTTTGTGTTTTAAAATGAAGGTAAAAATTTAGCTCAGATTAAATTTCTGAATGTCAAATACAGCCATAGACAGCATTTTAAGCACTCGTGTATGTACATACCTGCTACGTATGTAGTGAAGAAATAGCATTATAGCAGCAATTGTTCATGGTGGGATTAGGCTGTATGAGACCGATTCATTTTAGAACAGTTGCATTGACTTTGACTCATGACTGTTGTTCTACAACTATCACACACCAGCATTCTTGCTGATTAGCTTTTCTGAATCCAACTCCATTGACTACATATGTGATTCTCTCCTTACCAGGAATGTATTTTGTGGAAAACTGAAAGGAAACATTTCAGAATTTTCTTCTTGTTTCTAAGACACATTGTATAAATATAGTATGGTTGTTAGGGCTGTGCAAACCAGAAATAATTCAGAAATGCTTCAGAGCTTGAGTTAGCATAGCATGTCTCCACTATTCATTAAAGCAGCTGTTTTTAAAGGCTTCTGTGTGAGCCTGAAAAAACTTACTAGACATTCCATCATATGCCTGTTATCTTTCCTTAGGTATTATAAAGGGGAAATGGGAAGAGCACGCTACATTAATATGCTAAGTATTCCTTTGTTTTGGTGCAGAGTGCATGGCAGAATGAGAAAGTTATATGAAGAGAGCCTTTGGGAAGTTATTCCACTTTTCTAGTTTCTTATAAAATTCGATAAATCTAGTTAAAATAATCATCTAAATATTTTAATTTTCTCAGCTACACCATTGACAACTGCATGCCATGAAGTCATACATTGTTTAAGTCCCCTTCATTTGATTGGTCTGCCTTGACGTTTGAAAAAAAAAATCAGATTAGCTCAAAACTTTACAGTCTGCCCACAGTGTTTAATTCTACTATGTATAAGTTATGTTTCTACTAAATGTGATCCATCTCACATTACACGCATACAGTACATTGACTCCTAACTGCATTACAGTATTGAAAATGTCTTTATAAGAGAAAGAGAGGAGATTATCATAAATGGCAGTTGGTGGATACAACTTCAAGGGATGTTAAACCACAGCCTTTTCAGTATGACTTAAATCTACAACCGTTCAAATCATATGATCACTACTTATTTTAAAAAGTGATATTCTAAATTGTATTTTTTATTATCTCAGCTTGATCCTATTCCTGAAAAAATATTACAGCAGACAGCAAATGTTAATGCAGTGCATTCCATTGAGAAGGTCATTGAAATACACAGTGAGTACCTACAAACAGTAGTTTTTCTTCTACAGTTAAATTGAGTCTTGATACATTTTTAAAAAATTGAATTCATAGAATTCAAAAAGTCACATAGGATATTCATATAACCCTTTGCTGCCCCCCAAATAGTTGTACAACCTCTGCTTGAGTACATCTATCAAAGAGGAACACACACACTTTAAGTAGCCACTTCCACTGCCGATCTGTTTTTACTTACATTCTTTTTCTTACATTCAGCTGGAATCTGCCTTCCTGTGTCTCTGAATAGTGTCCTATCCTTTGGGATGATAGAGAACAGGTCTTGGGTTCTGTCACCACAAATTCAGATATCTGAAAACTGCTATCAGTCTTCTTCCAAGCCTAAACATATTCAGCTCCCTTAATCTCTTCTGAAAGGACTTAGTTTCTCCTTCTCTTAATTGCTCTTCTCCTAACCTATCTGATTTAAAATGAAGTGTGCAGAACTGGACACAATATTCAAAAATTAAGCACAGCACAGCACACTTTTGGCCAGCACAGAATAGAAAGTAGTAATTTCCACGATATGGCAATTTCACCTGATGGAGTTTTTAATTACATTTACCTTTTTTGAAGCCACACTACACTGATTTCATATTCAGCTTGTGATACTACAACTGAAAGATCCATTCAAGGTATATTACTGCCAACCAGTAATTTCCTCATCCTATACCTGCTCATATGCTTTCTCTTTCCTAAATGATTTTTTTTTCATTTCTTTTGTTTTGATTTGATTCTGTTACTCGTTCTGTTATTTTCCAACCATTCTTGTGATTTCTCAAATTTATGTTGAATTTTAGTTAATGTCTTTTAGGTATCTTCCATTTTAGGGACCCTAATCTTTAATGAAAATGTTGCAGAGGACCAAACCCTGTGGCAGCCCACCTGAAAAGAAACTATTGATGAATTTCCTTTGAATATGATTTTCAAGACAGCTATGTATCTGTTTAATTACTCACTTTTCAGTAGCTTCTTAATCAAACTGCCATGGGGCACTTTATTCAGTGCTTTATTGAAAACAAGATGTAGTATATCTACAACATTTCCCCAAACTATCAAAGAAAGCTACCTGTTCAAAAAATGAGGTTAGTATTACAAGACTTGACGAAAGGCCAGCATTAATTTTTTTAATCATTGCATTATTTTCAAAATGCTTTATAATCTGCTCAGTTTTTGTAGTTCTCTAGAGTCTCTCCCCTGAGAGAGCAACAAGCTTTGTTCACAAGTTACTGGTATTTCATACGTTTTCTAGGATTTCTCATAATGTACAGTTTAAATGGACCCTCCACAAGTGACTTTCATCTTCATCAAAATTCGTGGTCTTGGAACTTTGAATTTGTTTAAACAAGTATCTCTGCCTTTTCTCTATTATTACCATTTTGCCATGTTTGATGAGCAACTAGTATGCTCTTTCTTTCTTCTCATCTGTTGTGTCATCTTCATTCACCCACATTCATCCAGCAGTTTTGAATTCTCTGCATTAGTTTCCTGTTCACTCCAAGATCCTACACAAACTTTGTTTAAACCTTAAAAATCTTCCATGTCCTTGTCCCTTTGTATTTCTTATACCTCAACATATACCTTTCTATAATCTTTGTTTATCCAGCTCTGAATTTTTGTTCATCAGCTTAATCTCTGAAATGACTGCTCCCTTTCCAATGTTATGTCTGGAATTGCCTGACAGAATGTTTTTGTATGATCTGTGTTCCTTATTTTTTTTATTTCAGGAAGCCCTTGGAACATCTCTCTAGTTCTAGTAAATTAGACAAAATAATTTACTAATTTACTTTTATTAATTTATAAGGGACACAAGGAAATAACAGAGTAGAGGGCAAAAGGAGCTGTAGTAAAATAGGGAGATATGTTATTACTTCATTTTGTAAAGCCCCTTAGATGTAGGGATCTCTCAGGTCTGTTCAGTTTTGCAGCTTGATGATGCTTTTCTTTTGTTGTATAGAAAAATAATAGTAATGGATTCTGTGATGGCTTAATTTTTCCTTTAGGTAAGTACTGGCATTCACTCCAACGTTATTCTTCAACAGTCAGTTATTCTTTGATAGACGCACAGAAGTGTGATAATGAAGAAGCGGAAACTGTAACAGCTATGGCATCTTTGTCAGTGGGAGTTAAGCCACTTCCTGAGAAAAAGTGAGTTTTATTCTTTACCACTTTTTTTTTTTGGTTCCTTTGAGTCAGTGTTGACTCCTGGCAGTTGCCTGGACTAGTCCCTGTAGTTTTTTTGGCAAGATTTTTCAGAAGTGGTTTGCCCTTGCCTGCTTCCTCGAGCTGAGAGAGAGTGACTGGCCCAAGTTCACCCAGTTGGCTTTGTGCCTAAGGCAGGATTAGAACTCACAGCCTCCTAGTTTCTAGCCTGATGCCTTAACTGCTACACCAAACTGGCACTCTATTCTTTATTCTCACTCTATTCTTTATCTCTGCCATGTCCTAAAAGGCAGCCTCTAAACAGTATAATAAATAAATATAGGGATATGTAAAATATTTTTGTTCCAAAATCATTTTGAGCACTAATCTTCATAAAACATTCCACTTCACATGTAAAACTCCAGATGTGAAATGGGCTGCTTTGAGTATTTAGGAAGTTTTTTATGCACAAAACACTTCCAAAATGTTCAAAACAGCTGAATTTGGCAAGATGAACTTGAGACAGCTCAGAAATCTATTTGAAACAGTATTTTAGACCTGATCTAGGAAATAATAATGGCTGTATCTTAATCTTTGCACTAGCAAAATCCTCCACCATCAAAAGCAAAAAGGCCAAAGAGTTTTCATAGTTAATATTTGGGGAGTTTGAGAAGAATAGGCAATGGCTGTGATACCTTGTTAGCGCAAATTCATTGTTGACGATCACTTCATTTCCAGTTTTGCTAAATCAAAGAGCATTCCATTATCAAAAGTACACCAAATTAATATAATGCAATGCTAATGAAACTAATTGGACCTCAAATTTAATTCATTAGCTTGAAGAAAAACCAATTTACAGAGGCTCCAAAAGACAGAACACAAACTGGTAAAGGTTTACAAATAAAAATCTAGGGACAGAAATAAAAAACAAATGAAAAATCTAGGGAAAGGAGAATTGTTATATTCAGCCAGGAGAGAACTCTAGTGACATATAGCTTTGAAATGTCTCAAAATGCTCATATAATTTTAACCTTCCTACATAGGAGGAATTATAGTAAAAATGCCTCAGTATTTGATCTGAGCCAAAAAATATAAGTAATGTCATTTAATAATTGACTGATCAAACCAACTGCTCATCTTCATGGTCTATATACTGTATATACGCGTGTTGTACTTAAAAGGAAGGTTCAGAATCTTCTAGAATTATGGCAGGACATTTGGCCTCTCAAGTGCTCATGTTTCATGGGCATGGCTCCCACTTTTTTCTTAGTTGGCCTTCGGCTACCTTAGCAGCATTGGAGAGGGTTTTCTCCAGTTTCTTTTTCTTTTCTTTTTTTCAGTAGCCTGTTTCTCTTTTACTTTCATCTAATATAGTCTCTCTTTTATTTTTTTTCTTTTCCTTGCAAAAAGAAGGACAGGCAGTACACCTGTAACTTGTTTTTTGAGTGATTTGTGCAATCACAACCGCTCTCCCTCTACAGATACCTGGCCTGGCGTGGTATTCCTTGGGCCACTATGTGTTGAGTAGAAAGTTGCTCTTTCTACTCAAAACTGTTCATCTCTAGCAGATTCCTAAAAGGAGCTGAAGGCACAGATGACAAAATATAAGAACCTGTAAACCAATCATAGTGTAAAGAATCCATTCTTTCAAAGCAACTGTTAGAATCTCTCTCAGCATAGAGTTCCAAATATGAAGTAGTTTCTCTTAATGAAGTTCTGAGGTCCAGACTCAAGATATTAGTAATGATTATTAGGAATAGCCATTAAGACTGTGTGGTAGAACATTAAGTGGCATATCAAAATAATATTGCTTTGCATGCTTATTAACAACAGCACCAATAATTAATAAACATATATATCTGATTCTGGGCCATGCAAATCTATCATTCTGACTCTTCTTAATGAAATTGCTTACAGCCTGGATGAGGAGCCCATGGAAGAAGATCCTCTTCTGTAGCATTCACCTAGTTTGAAGCGCTCCAGTAAATTCATCTTGTCTTTGAAGGCCTGCCAAGAAGCTTTCTCTTGTTATACTTGCATCCTGCCCTGATTTTCTTCCAGAAAGGCAGCCATGTTGAAAGAAAGCCTAATCTTTCCATATTGTTTGGATTATGCTCATGGAAAAGAAAAAATGCAGGTGAAGAGCAGCAATATGAATTACAGACCACAGAGTAATCTTCCTTTTTTCCTCAATGGAAACTATAAGCGGCAAGAGGCCAGAGAAGTATTTAGCAAAGTTGCCAGCTTTTGCTGTTGTTTCAAAATCAAAGACTTAACATGGACGTGACAATTTTCATTTAAAACTGGTGCTTAAAATTTGATTACATTCAGACCACTCAAACTAGATTGTACTTTTGTTTCTGTATTATTTTTGTGGTTCTTGCGTACTTGTGAATAAGAGATGTTCTTCAAAACCCAGACCCTGAGGAGGGTTATTTTTCTTCTTATGAAGGGTAAAAGAGAACTAAGCTTTTTATATATACATGCAAACTATATAAATGTGGAGAGGGAGAATGTAAAACAAGAAAGATCACCCAGAAAAGGGATTGGCTTTAGCACTGCCAAAGCCATTGGAAGAGTTTGTGCCTTTTAAAACAATAGACTGATTTTGGGCAGCTGTTTTTTCCTGACATTTTTGAGGAACTATGCCTTAAGAAAAGAACTCTGCAGCAGTTCCTCTGGCAAAGTAGGCTGAGAACTGCATTCAGCAAGAAAGATTCTAGGATTTCTGCTAGCGTGATTATTTAAAGCAAGCAAAGGCCAGAGCTTCTCCCAAACAGTCTACAAGTTTATTTGGGGTTTTGTTTCCTTGCTGTTTAAATTAAAAAAAAAAATTAAGGTAGTTGCCAGTAATGTGGCAAATGCTGTTGGGTTTCTAAAATTCATTGATTTTTAAAAAATCCAACATCTTCTTCTATACATTATGTATAACATTTAAAGTATCAATTTGGTTGTAAAGGCATGCACAGATACAATTGCAATTTTTTTTAAAAAAATGGAATGCTTTTTATTAAAAGCAGATAGCATGGGATATTGCTTAATTTTTTAGGTATAAATATATATGTACACTGTATAATGAATAATATAAATATATTCCAAGCTTAGAAAACTCTTACAAATTATTAATTAAATATTTATAGTGCATTTATATTACTATATAAATAAATGCAGATGGCAACCATTGGAAGCTCCTTGCAAAGGATTTGTAGATTGAAAGGTTAAGAAAAGGACTCTAGTTTGAAACTTGCCCATTTTCAAAGTGCAGTTTGGAATGTTTTTAGAATGCCCAACATTTTAGCCACTGGGCAACTACCCTAAATATTGCTATTTCACTTTTATGTTCTTCAATGTTGACCCTCTTTTAACAAACGAAGTATTTCTGGCAAATATTTATTTGCTGCTGCTTCATTTTCATATTTTCAGATAAAGCCATAGAACAGCCTTATTTGCATTGATTTTCATGTTTGGTTTTCATTTGAGAATTGTGTTTCCAGACATTAATCATTTCCTGGACATGCATAATTTCTCCTTGCACACCGAAGTTAGCTTATTTCCAGGTGTTTGTACAGCAAACATTTTTCCTAATCTTGTGCATGTTGCAGAGTGCTGTGTGTTATTTTCAGAAAACCCTTTTCTCAAATTCCATGGTCATTTTTAGATTAGGAAATTGATTGTATAATTTCTCAGTTCTTCAGTTGTAGTTGTTATGCTACATAAAGAAAATGAGAAACTTTCTTACCTTAAAAGCTTACTAGTATTATAAAGAGTGATATATATCCTCAATTTCAAGGATGATTAAAGGCATTAATAATTTAAATAAATAAGTTGAAAGTCTGCAACATTCTGTTGGTACACAGAGCAAACACACAGAAACCATTGTGGTTGAATAATCCCTTTAGAAGATTACTTCAGAATAAATATTAATAATAATTACACTTGTTTTTTGAGAGAGTACTAATCTTCACCATGATCTCTTTTCTTCTACATATATTTTTTTAAAATGAGGGAAGTTGATTAAATTTTTAGTAGTGAAATTAGAAGAGACTGATTTTTTTCTAAAGCAACTTCTGAATCCCTTTTGTGTGTGTGTGTGTGTGTGTTACATTAACTGACAGAGTTGATTTATAACTTATTTTGTAGTTTTGAAAAGTTTTTTCTTTCATTCCATTATGACTGGAGTTGTGAGAACGTAAACATAAATTTGAGTGAGTGCAGGAGAGTTTTAGAAGTTTATTTACTGCAAAAATTGATATGCAATTTTTAAGACAGACACTACAATATTAATGTTCATGCTAACCCAAATATATTCAAAGTGATGAATTCTTTTTGGCATTAGAACTGCCAGGAACATACTCTAAGAGTAAAGTTTGATGGTAAAGATAAAAATGTATATTTTATAAAATGCTTTGCTGCTGTGATCTAAAAAGATTTTTGTGTGAAATAACTTGATTTCATATTTTATTTTACTTTGTTATCACAATTGATAAACATTATGAATTCTATAATCACTACAATCTCAAATACATTTTATTTTTGAAAATCAAAATTGTCAAAAAAAATTTCATCACAAGAAATTGTTAGTACATAACAATTGGTGTTAACATGATGGCTTTTAATGTTGTTACTTTTAAGATTCTTCATTTGTTACTTTCAAATTTCTACATCATTAGGAGTGAAAAGCTTTTCTGAAGTCCGAAAGAATTTTGGTATATATAATTTGCCCCATTTTCTACTTACTTCTATTTAAAATGGATATAGCATAATCTCACTCCAAGCCTGAAACTGGATTTCTTCTGCAGTTCTTCTAGGAGAAAAAAGAATTGTGTGTTATGAGGGTGGAAATAATTTTATTTAAGAAAAGCCTGGGTAAGGAAGGCTTATGGGCTCTGGGGATAAACAAAGAGCTTGATCTGAGTAAGACAATGTATCTCTAATTACCACATTTTTATATTCTATAAATAAGAGATACCTAAATTCCACCAGCAAGATTCTGTATGTTGTCTTGATTAACCCAGTTTTGAAGGTATAGAGTGACTTACTACTATTCTTCTCTTGTAGCAGTTGAGAAACATAGGAGCATCTTAAAACTGAATTACCTAAAAGTGAGCTCCAGATTGTAGTACAGTATAATATCATGGTTATTTTACTTTCAGTACACAAACATTCCTTTTTATTAATCATGTACTCATTCCATTTTTCCTTTTATAAACTTTTGGGCCCACATTTTATGGGCATTGATATATATAAATATATAAATATATAAATATATATAAATAAATATATATGAATATATTTTTTTAAGTTTCCTACACCTTGAGGTTGCATGGTCTGTTAGGTTGGCATGCCTTTATATTGTAAACAGATTTTGCACGCCACACTTGGCAGCTCTGGGAAAAAGCTTTCTAATGGCATTAGCAAGAGAGAAAGTTTGGAAAGTTTTGTGTCACACAAAAATAAGGAGCATGGAAAAGGGAAGTTTGTTTGACTGAACTGATTAAGGACCTGTGTTTTTATTGTAAAATTTTAAAAAATACAAAGGACTACTTAAACATTTGTCATTTTAAAGAAAAGAATAGCATTTGTGACAAACCAATAATAGAATATATTGTATTTATGTGGAAATGTGTAGGAAAACTATGCTGAACACACAAGTAAACTGCCTATGTCATATTTTTTTTAAGAGAAAGAGGGAGAAGAATTCTCTTTTGTTTGTGAGGGATAAGGAAGGTGCAAACCTATGCTAATTTCTGTTTATATTAATTATGAAATAAAAATGACAATAACTTTAAGAGTTAACTCTTCAGCTCAGCTGTATTACTTTTTAAATTACTAGGAATTATATATCAAGAGATTTTGACATTTAAGCAGTGATGTACTGTGCAAACACTGTGGATTCAAACAAAACTTTGTATCAGCAGGAAATGAGGTTTCTTCATAGTGATAGTTGAGCTTGGTTTCCTCCCAGCTTCATATTCTATTTGAGATTAATTAAAAAGAAAGGGCCGGGGAAAATAATTTAACACTTCTGGTGCTTTACATTGGTGGCAACCCATATGTATGGGTTGAAAAACTATTAACCCAAGAATTTATTACAAATATGTAGTATGAGAAATTGTAACTTTATTATATTCTGCTTTATGCCTATACATGCTCAGTATGTCACCATTGATAGCAGCTACCAGTTTAGTCTGTAATTTAGACAGAGTTTCATTCTTAATTGTATGAACCCTTTAAATTATAGTAGCATATTCTTTGTACTTAAATTTTATTATGACCTTTTTCTTAGTAGATTTGAAATTTGGGTTATTTTTTCCTAGGTCTCTCTCATTCCTGCTTTTTGTTATGTTGTTTTACTTTTTTTTTTCTTTTTTACCAATGGTGTCTTTCTTTAACTATACCACATCAATCTCAACTTTAATAGAAGTTCAGTATTTTGTACCACATTATGACAACTTGTTATTATTGTGGTGTAAATAAAAAGATAAAATGAATTACAAAATGTTCTCTATTGAGGTTAATAACAATTGTCTTCACTTTTCCTTTGTCAATTCATTTTTGTATGTGTATGCTAAAATGTAACTTGAAAAACTGCCAACTTTTGAATATGGTCTTCCAAACAGATGGCGGTAGCAACATCAACTAATACTATACAATACAATAATTCCATCTTTCTCTCCATCATGGATATTTTTTCCTGATAAAAGGATGAAAGAAATGGAAGCAAAATATAGGAAGCTGACATCATATAAAATTACATGATTGAAGAAGTACAATGCAACAAGGAAAAAAATGCTGTTTCACAGAAATGAAATGTCTTCAGAAATCTTGAATAGAAAAACTTCTACTTTAAAAAAGTAGGCAAGTCTCTTAGTTAGTGAGGCCTTATGGAAAGCTTACTTTCAGGATTTATGCCACTTGAAATCTCAGCATTAATCTGAACACACTAAAACTTAACAAACACGAGCAGCATACTTTTTCTAATATACACTTACAGCCTGAAAATCTGAACAGCACTTTTACAACACTTGTTGAATGTATACAGTGCATAGCATAGCACAATCTACTGCATATGCCTAAGGGCTACCTACCTAGAAAACAAAACACAATACCCAACACAACATGTATAAAACACAATGGTAACTTCACAGCAAAGATTAAAAACAATAAATGACCTAGGTGGGCAGTTGATGACTGTTTTTAATCTTTACTCCTCATCCTAGCACCCCACCCCACCCATTCAGCCAATAGCAGGGATTGAGCTGGAGCCTGACACTTAGTTGAATGTTCTGGATATTTAAAAAGGCCATTTGCAATTTACACAACCACAAATCAGTCTACAAGATTCAGGATTCAGAAAAAACTATTCCAAAAGTCCCTGTTCTACATTAACTCAAAGTGTATTTAACTCCAGTGTTCTGTCACATTTGGGCCAACACAGAACATACATCTTTTGTTCTGAGCTCAAAACACTCATATCCAGCTTGGAATGTTTTAAGCTCAGAATATTTTTTTAATATCTTGGAGGAAAGGGGGAGAAAAAACTTTCTACATAGGCCTGTACATCTCTTTTTATGCTTAAATCCTGTGATTCTATTATAACACTTTCCCCGACATCTAGTTTTCTTATGTGGAAGGGGGGGGGTTCCTCTAGTTGTCTGGGAAAAGTCTGCTCTGTGCACAAATCCAGTCCCCATTTCAGAATTTCCAATGAGGGAAAATCCACAACAGTTCTAGGCAGACTGTTGGACTGCTTAACAGTTTTTTCTGTTGGGAAATTGCTCCTAATATTAAGTCTGAAACATCCTTATTAATTTTAATTCATCAGTCCTTGTTCTGCCTTTCAGCAAAGAGAACATATGTGACAGATGACAGCTTTTTAGATATTTCAAGTCCAGCTTCTCCATATTCCTTTTAAAGTGCAATGTCCAGAACTGGACAGGGTACCCTAAACACAATTAAATCAGGACATAGCACATTGGAACTATTGCCTCATGTTATGTGGATGCAGTCCAAGATTGCATTGGTTTTTTTTAGCTGCTCACTCATCATTCAGCTGATACTCCAAAGTCCCCACATTCACTACCTCCAAATCTGGTTTCCCCAGTCTATGTTTTTATCGAGGTTTTTAGCCATCATCATTTGTAAAGAAAGCTTGGAGCTTGTTTTGGGTATAAAATAATGTTCCACCATCAGAGAACCAACCTGTAGGGGCAGTCCAAGAAGACCTATGACCTGAAGTGGAAGCATGAACATCCATTCCCCTCAGGCTGGCTGACATGACAATATTACTCTGAGAGCATCCACAGACTCTCGACCGTATCTGGTAGAAAATTAATTTTAACACAACCATTATTGTGAGTGTCTGATCAGGAAGACGGTGCCTTGCCTAGGCTGTCTCTTCCAAAAATAATACCCCACCAGCACCAAATTCCAAACTCTGTCTTGAAATAAGCAAGAGCAAAACAATGGAAGCAGCACTGCAGGGTAGTGAAGCAGGGTAGTGAAGCAAGCCCAACACCATTTGTACAGTGCATATAACTACAAATGAGACAGACCTCACAGAGCAGCTACATTCCTTATTTTGCCCCTCCTGCCTCTTCATGTTGCTGATTCAAAATACATTAAAAGTGAGGAACAAATCATACATCTCCTGATTTGAAAAGTGTTTATGGAGACACTCAAATTTTGAATGAGATAGGACTGAAATATTACCCAAAAAAATATTCATTCTTCCTAAAGATTTTATAAAAATAGGTAAGATGAATAATATGTTCACAAAAGCTATATTTCAGATATGGACAAAGCAATAAGTGTTGATAGCAGGTATCTTTCCCCAACACATTTGAGGACATTGGATACATCACCCCCATCCACCCAATTGTTTCCTTCATGGCGCAGAATAGAGGAGGGATCACCTGGTGTCCTACTTTCCATCTCTATTCTGCTGCCCTTATGTACAAAAAAGGGTTAAGGCTGGAATAACCAAAGGCTTATCCAACCAAAGGCAGTCCTAATTACTCATGGTATTGTTTCCAGTGGCTGTAGAAAATTTTGTGCCTTTTGATAATGTAAATTATTGCCTGTTCATGCCTTTCTTTCTCCCTGCTTTGCCCTGCCTGGTGTTCCATTTTGCCATTTAACTCTTTTTATGTCTGCTGTTGTTTAACAGATAAATATCAAGCTATATTTTTGCTAGCTACGCCAAGTGACCTTTGTGCTTACTCTGGGTATAGGGATTGACAGGGAATGTGCTAGATACAAACTAACTGGGAAATTACCCACAGTAATTTTCCAACAGATGATTTTATAAAAAAAATATAGGATAGTTCCATTGCAATAGAGAGATTAAGACCTATGCAGGATAAGAGATTTTTATAATAATAAATCACCACACAATAATAAATAAATAATAATATATAAATAAATAATATAATAAATAACAATAATAAATAAATAATAATAAATCACCACGCAATAAGTAAATCAAGTAGATTGCCAGCTGTCATGGTCTACATCAGAGGTGTCAAACGTACAGCCCATGGGCCACATGCAGCCCACAACACAATGCAACTGGGAAATATTTAACAAAATAAAATAAAAATACAATAAAGCACAGATAATATTATATTTATATTTTAAAACTAAACAATAATAAAT